CTGTCCCACATGCTGCAGAGAGTGTTGGAGAACAGTAAGTACCTTTAAATCAACTGATAAAGACTTGGTATTTAAAATGAGCCCTGGAGAGTGTGGTTTAACTCACCAGTCACTCCATGGAAGAAAAAAAATATGGTATTCTGTTTCTGTAAAGATTTATGATCTTGGAAACCCTATACCTGGGGCAGCTCTACTTTGTCCTACAGTGTTCCTATGACTCAGAATCAACTGATAGGGTCTTTGTTTGTTTGTTTATTTGGTGTTATGTTTTTGCTTGGTAAAAGCTTTTTAAATAAACTAAACTATAGTTATATGGTATGGAAGCAAGATATTGGTAGTATTAGTAGATCCAGATAATATGCTAGAATTATTTGGACATAGGGAAATGTTGATACAGTTCACATAATAAGCCATTACATTTTCTGATTTAAAAAACACCAAGTAGTTAAATAAGGGGCATTATCCATCCCTAACGCTTCAGCTCATCACCAAAACCACCTACTGTGGGAAGAAGCCCTGTCAGAGGTAAGAGAGAAGTTAAGTATTATCTGGAAAGAAAAACTGATATAGGAAAAGGAGACTGACCCGACATTTCGCTTCTATTGTCTAGAAAGCCTTTTCTCTCTGGGCTTTCAGTTTGTGGGTCTTCCTTCACAATCTTCTTGAAAATGAAAATGAATATGATGATAAAATATAAAAAGAAAACCATGTTTCTTGCGAGTTTGGTTTTGGTGAAGTTTGGCCAGGAGACTTCACTTATATATACACCCTGTCCTTCTGACTTTTCCTGACGTCACAATGGCCATTACGAAGAGATTCTATCCACACCTCAGGTCTTAAAGGGGCTATATCCTTCTGTAATGTACCTGGCTCCATTGGTCTAGACCTCTTCATGAATAGGCAAGGAAGTATATTATGATTTTATATCAGATGTGATTAAAAGAGGCCTATCTAAAATTTCCATTTGTTTATCAGTAGGACAGATTATCTAGATTCAGCTATGTGAAATGTGTTGGGGAGAGAACCTAGGAATCAGTAGGCATCTAAGTATGCAGAGGGACAGTTTTATACCTCTGATTAGCCCAGTATTGGCCTTAAGTTAAACTCAGTAATCCAGACTGGTTCTGATCCCACTAGGTAGATGTAGGAAAGTGTTTCAAGGAGAACCTAAACGTTTCAAATTATAGAACAAAGGACAAAACCACAGGGTGACTCAGTCTTAGAAACCCAAAGGGCAGTTCCACTCTGTCCTTTAGGA